GCCTAAAGAATATAGTGGCAACCCTCAGCAAGGAGTATCCACACCTCGGAGATAAGTTGGAGATAATCAGCAATACGCTGGACATCTACTCGCCGACACAGTCGCCCAGACTGTCGGAGGACCAATGTGTTTGTCCGAATGACCTGGGTAATATCGCCGAAAAGCCCTTTGAATGTCCTTGTCCAATATAATTTTTTTATATATTGAGTTCAATAAAGATGTTTTATTGAAAATTATCGTCTATTAATGCCCCTTAGAAAACTAAACTAATGTCTTTAAAAAAATCAATAATAAATAATCTTTATTATAAACTTATTCTGAACAACACACCAATATAATCTTGAATTTTACAACTAAACATCACAATTTTAAATATAAGTACAAAAATTTTAAAAATACATATACAAATAGACAATAGATATATCAATTCAGTTTGTGTACTGCGTTGCGTAAAAATTACTTAAAACCAGTGAAATAAGAACTAAAACATTCACAACTTATATTCCGACACCGTAAAATATGTACAAAACACTATCTCTGTTTTTTTCAAACAGTATGAAAGAGACACAAATACTTGACACTTAGCAAACAGCAATATAGTCTCTATTTGTTCTGTGTTAGGCCGTAGTTTCGCTCGTGCGCGGTGAACTCGTGCCGCTTGCGGTGGTCGGAGCGGCCGAAGCGCGCGTCGCAGTACTTACACGAGTAACGCTTCTCTTTTGTGTGACTGACCATATGGCTACGCACGTACCTGTCACATACAGATAAATAATTAAAAAATATTAAAGCAGCAAACTTAAGACAACTCACAGACGGCATAAACTAAAAAATAAGCTATATAACTGCGGATAGACATGACTAAAGCACCCGGAATTGAATTGAACTTAAGAAGTTGCTTCTATCGATTTTTCACAATAAAGCTGCACTAATATTGAACTACATATTCAGTTACAACTGACAAAGACGCAAACCTCAGTATATATCTTGATAAAACCCGCTACACACATCAGTTTTAACAAAACAGTCAAACTGTACGGTTAAAAATGAAGCGTGGAGGCCTAATATTAACTCAGTTAAAACTAACGTGTATAGCGAGACTAAGGGCCTTAATAGTCACGTAATTTTAGTTTAGATTTATATAACATTTAGGATTACTAAGAGGCTTCTAGTGAAATAATAACTAAGTGCAGTTAGTGGCCAATTAAAACAACTGTAAATTAGTTATGTTTTAGTCCCAACTGACCCTGGCTTTGAGAACGTCATATCGCAGAGGTTGCAGGCGAACATCTTGACATCAGAGTGCACAAAGCGGTGCGTCTTCAGAGAGTTTGTTGTGGCGAAAAATTTCTTGCACTCCGGACACTGGTATGGCTTCTCCTTCGTGTGGCTCCTGGAATGTCACCCGAGGAATCTTATATCTATAGATGTAACTGTACGAAACAAAAATGCGATAATTACTTTGATTTTACCTGTATTATTGAATTTACAAAACCACTTTAAAATTAAATACACTGACACACACACTGCCGACTTCAACTGTTCTGTTAATACTGATGTGTGAAGCTGGCTTTACAAAAATATTGAAGCGAGTTTTTTGATGTATTTTTAACAATATTCTACATACCTTAAATGCTCCTGCAAGTGATATTTTTTGAAGAAACCTTTGGAACAAAACTGACAAAGGTGCGATTTCTCTTTGTCATGCACCTGCCGTCTACAATGGAAAAACATGTTTTACTTGATTTTAAAACTTAAGTAACTTTCAAATTCAAAATAAAAACTAAGTATGTGCTCAACGAAGCTATCCTTTATATATATGCCAAATTTCATCAAGATCCATTCAGCAATTTGACTACAAACTCTAACAAACATCCTCGCAAGCATTTATAACATTAGTATGTAGTAAGATTATTTATAACTAGTTATTATGTTCACAGTGAATTAAAAAGGCATACTTATGCGCCAACATTATTATTTTGGAACGGAACTTCTTGTCGCAGATATCACATGTGTGGGCAAATTGCTTGGTGTGTATTGTAGAGTGCAGATCTAACGCCGATTGGGAGATGAACCGTCTACCGCAAGGCACACAGACGTACCGCATGTCTCCCACATTGTGCGTCATCAGTTTATGTGCTCGTAGGTTCACTACCTCTGGAAAAAACTAATAGATCATTAAATAACGTAATAAAATAATTATAATAACAATATCTGTAGTACAAGGTATTTAGGCTACATAGTTTAAGTAAAGGCAGATTTTTTTTTAATCTGTACTAATAAATGAAAATGTAAATACACTTCTTTGTTATGTAGGATATCAGAAATCACAGCATTTGAATAATACTTTTTTTCTATGCTTACAACATGTTAAAAGTGTTAATATATAGGCTACAATTTCATGCTATCTAATTTAGTGGGTGAATGGAATGAAAAATAAAATATATGAGAAAGTACCAAACACTATAAGCTAATAGCAGCAAAGAGCAAGATTGCTATGGTAACAATAGTTAGCTAACAGCAAGGGGCTTTTTGTCATTTGGGCATTTTAACTTTGATATTTGCATTAAACAAATTAAGGACTGCTCAAATCAGCTTTGATATTCCGGTGAGTGCACCCAAGTCGAGCAGTCCTTAATTTGATTAGGATAATGACTCACAAAAGTTTAAACAATTTAAGTGACATTAGCAATTAAAAGATTTTAAGATTGTAAACATTAAAATTTCTTACAATGTCATATAGATGAAGCTGTATGGAAACATCTAGTCATTAGTAAATATAGCTCAAATTTATCCATTATACTTTTGGAATCCTAACATATCTATATCTATACTATTATAATAAAGCATAAACACACACTTCTTTGTTGCCGAATATGTGAGGAACTACAGCATATTTTTGAATAATTTCTTTTTTAATAAAATGCCCTACACCTGTGCCACGCTTTAGGCTATATATTTTAACACCATTGAACTTATGGGGTAAATATTTTGTATAAAAACTAATGTGGGAAAGAGACCATAAGTTGCTGCCAACATCAAGGAAGCAAGGTTGTCATCATGTCATGTCATTTTGACATTTGTAATTGATAATTTGAAAAATGTAAACAATGAAATAAAATTTTCATAATTTCATGCGGATCAAGCCGCACGGGAACAGCTAGTTTTTTAATATTTTCCTTACCTTTATCACAAATATCACATTGTGATTTTATACCAAGATGTTTAACTTTATTATGCCTGTATCTTGCACTGTAACTAGCGAATTTCTTATCACATTGTTTACATTTATAGCATTTTCTTTCATCAAGAGATTTATGAAGCCGTCTATGGTGTTTCAAGTTTGCAACTGTCTTTCCACACTCCTCGCAGATTTCATTTCTTTTTTCATCGACTCTTGTTTTCTTTCCTTTCTGCTTCTTTTTGGGTACAAAATTTTCCACAGGGTCTAAAAAAATAACATAATATAAAACCTGGTAGGAACCATATGAATTATGATTTGCCCTAATTTTACTAATGTGCTTTGTTATTTTATTTCAAATAAATTTCTTAGACATTCAAAAATGTTTTTGGAATTCAATTATGATATAGGATTATATACCATTTTCTTTTGTTTCTGCAAAAATATTTTCACATTTAATCTGCTTGATAACACTTAGGAACTCATCGTCTGATGAAAATAAGTCGTAATTCTTAACAATAATTTCATTATTGTTGCTAATATCATTGTCAGAATTATTTTCGCATTTGATTTCATCTTCTAGTAATACTTCGTTTGTTATGTTCTCGTTCAATTGTATATCATGCCAATACGCATTATTTCGTAAAGCAAGAGTTTTAAATTGTTCAAATTCAATAATTTTTCTGTAGCAATCAAAACACATTTTTCTACCCAGTTTCGAGTCTCGTGAAACCTAAAATGTGATACAAAGATTATTAAAAAAATAATTGCTATAAAATGTGTAATTACATGATCTACTTACAACAATATCTAAACAAAAAAACATTATTTCCAAGAAATTCTTTGAATCGTTTACTTTTTCGGCTTCCAATTCAAATATATCTTTTTCGCCTCTGCACTTTAAACATATCCTACAATCATCCATATTTCGATGATATTTTACTATCGTGACGTACAACTAAATGCTTTACATATTCCTCAACGAGATTTAAGCCTGAAATACAAAAATACAAACGTATAAACAATCGATACGATGCAATACAAAATATCAACAAACAAGTTACATTAACGTCAACGTCGCTTTATCGTAACTTTGACACTTGAAGAAACGTTCATAATCACAATAAAACCTTGTATTTTTTACTTTTACATTAAAAGTACTTACGTACCTTACGTACGTACTTTTCATATAAAATGTAAATTGATATTTACATTTTTCGTAGTATATAAGATTCGTTTAGCCTGCCTGCGCTCTTTCTTAAACTTGATTTTAAACGGGATTGAGTTTGTTATTTTCATAGGTTGTCATGACAACGCACACAATATATTTCTGTTTTCATCGGTTATGTTTAGGATAAACTAATCTATTGTGTAAAATGGTATGTAAAAAGTTGTAGTTTAATAGTGAATTGAGTATTAATATTAAATCCTACCTCAATTATACAAAATACGTAATTTCCCTATCTCTTACAGATCCTTTCTCGCTCAAAACCGGCCACAGAGAGTCGTACCGGCAGCCATTCGGCCAAGAAGAATTTCCCAGAGTTTGAAGATTTCATATTGAAAAGGGATTACGTTGGCGCGATTACTTTGCTTGAAGTACTTAAAAAAGAATTTTCACGAATTGAAATTTAAACTAATTTCGTAAAATAATAATAATTAATAACTCTTAACTTTACAAAAACTTTGATTAAAGTGATTAGATTCATTCCATTGTACATGCAAAACACTATGCTCGTATTAAAACAATACAAAAATAAAAAGTGTAATTTTATCGATAAGATTTAAAATCATGAAAGTCTGTTGGTCTTCATGGGAATAAAAAGGTTGTTTACTCTTCCGTTAGTTCCACAAATACGAAGGCCGAGAGGACGTATGGCTTGATGTTTGGTCTGCGTGGTGCTGGTTCCACCTGGGCGACTACAGACGTGCGCTGGACTTGTATCTACAGATGCAAAAACGGGATAACTTGGACACACGCATTTCTGACAACTTGCCCATTGATCTCGCCGTCTGCTATTTCTATTTAGGTAGGTTATTCAAAAAATGCACTTTTGTGATGAAATAGTCTTAAAAACACTTTGCTAGTATTCAATTCGATAGGAATTCATTGTTATTACTTTATACTTACAATTACTTTTACAATTACTTTTACAATTACTTTATATCTTAAGCAGTGCTGAATAAGCAAAATTGGCTTTTGAAAACGACAACGATATAAATAATGTCGAGAATTACATTTTACATTCTAAAATAAAGATCATTATTTTTATAATTAATTTAAAATAATTATTTACGGCTTACTTATATATATACTTATATATATTACGTATACTTTTTTCCGGTGACGGCATTGACCAGTCTCGCACAGGCGCGACGCGACCGCGATACATCCTTAACCCTCGCCCTGAAGAAGGACCCCGCAGGGTCTGAAACTGGTCGGTGCCGTCGCCGGAAAAAAGTATACGTGAGTAAGCCGTAAATAATTAATTATAAAATGTCTCACGAAAGTTTAAATAATTTAGTCATTATTTTTATTCAGGCATGTACAAAGAGTCGCAAGAGGCAATAAAGGATGCACCGGATTGTGCACTAAAGGTTTGTACATCTATTGTTCTTTACTAGATAACACCAGCGACATCTATAGTCTTAGATCACGGCATTCACGTGTGAAAGTCACACAGACGAATACCATGGAAGCTGTTCTGTACTTTTAATTGATTCACTCCATAGAACCGTCTGCAGTTGCACTTGGCACACAAGCTGGGTGATGAGGAGGGTGTGATGGCGGCGCACGCGGCGTTACGCGATGTACCCGAAGACCAGCTCAGCCTGGCAGCAGTGCACTACTTACGCGCTCACTATCAGGAGGCCATCGATGTCTACAAAAAACTCTTGCTCGATAGACGGTGAATTTAGAAACTTAATTTGATTTTGTTAATTAAAAAAAATAAGTTTATTGAATTTAAGTTCTTATATAGCTACTTTCTGTTATTTTTTTAATATTTGAGTATTCTTTAATACACATAATGAATTTAAATTTCCAGATATAAAAGATACCAAACTGACGCTATTGAATGGATTAAAGTATTAGCTCACACTAATTGGTACCTCCTTTCTTTTGTTCCGTATTTAGTTTTTACAATACTTAAGATCTGTCCCACCACTGGCTGGCAGAGGCTCAGATAAAAAAAGTGACGTCACTGTCAGATAGAGTACCAAAATCCGGTACTTCCATCACATATTTTATACGTTGGATCTGACAAGTTACAAGAATAGTGGAACAGGCCTTTAGTACTAAATTACTTTGCTTATATATTTTGATTAATATCCATTTATTGTACGTAAAATTCACGTATTTAATTTACTATACTTATTATCGCTCTCCAATGGAATTCAAAGGGGAGATGGTATTTTCTATTAAATTACTTCTTCTAGTTTACAATACAGCTATATTCCAGCACGTACCTTGCGCTGAACGTGTACGTGGCGCTGTGCTATTACAAGCTGGACTACTACGACGTGTCCCAGGAGGTGCTCGGGGTGTACCTCGCGCAGCATCCCACCTCCACCATCGCTGGTAACCTGAAAGCTTGCAACTTGTTCAGGTCAGCTATCTGTACTTGCTGGACGTAGAGGAAGGTGAAATAAGAGTGAAATATATTCTTTTATTCTAAACTAGCTGTGTTCCCGTGCGGCTTCACCCGCATGAATTTATAAAAACTTTATTTTATTGTTTACCTTTTTGAAATTATCAATTACAAATGTCAAAATAACATGACTTGATGACAACCTTGCTTCCTTGATGGCAGTAACTTATGGTCTCTTTCCCACATTAGGGTTTTTATCCAAAATATTTACCACCTAAGTTTAATGGCGTTAAAATATGTAACCTAAAGCGTGACGCAAGTGTAGGGCTTTTTATTAAAAAAAAGAAACATTTAAAATTATGGTGTAATTGCTGACATCTTAGGCAACAAAGAAGTGTGCTTACGCTTTATTATAATAGTATAACTAGATAGAATGAGAGATACTATTCACTATTAATAAACTGATTATATGATGCTAGCAATCATAGAAATGTGTGGTTGTGGTATGAGAAGGGAAAGAAGAGCATAGAACGTATATGACAAAACACTTTTAATATTACAATGTATTGCATTTCTGTATTAAGGTTGTATAACGGTAAAGCAGCGGAGAACGAATTGAAGCAGATATCATCAGAGCAGCACACCTTCGGGCAGGACCTGGTGCGACACAATCTTATCGTGTTTC